TGAAATGGTTTCAAGATATCCCTGCAATTTTCAAGAAAATCCAATAACTCAACTATTTAAAGTGAAATTGAAATTTGAACAAAAAACGGCTCCACATTGCGGCTGCTTTAATAAATAGAACGTAGAAGCGGTTAATTTTAACAAAATATTCTTTTAAGCGGTTAATTTTAACAAAATTTCAACGTTAAGAGTTATTGAAAATGAATTATATTTTTAATTAAACACATTTTTTTATATAAAGTATAGATGTTTTTCTGCCATTTTAAAAACAATTTATTCCGATAATATTATATTTTTTAATAATTTCTTAAAAGGATGTTTTTTTCATGAAATATTTTGTTCCAAAATACTGTTCCGATTTGTTAAAAATGAATTATAAACTTAAAAATTTAATAACATTTTATCGTTTTTAGTGGAAAAAAGAAAATAGTAAAAGCTTTTTAAAATTTTTAAAATAGTATAAGTTATTTTAAACCAGTATTAATATAGTATAAATTTTAAACCAGTAATAAATTATTTAATAGTGGTTAAAACCATTAAGTGGTTAAAACCATTTAAATACTTTATGCTGATTAGATGACTTTATTGTTTTTAATTTAGTAACAAATAAAGTCAGGTGCTTATTTTGTGGCGCTTTTATTAAACTTTTCTACTGCAGTAACAACATATTTTAAATTTAGAAACAACTAACATAAATTATGTTAGTTTAAAAATTTGCAACTAAATTTTTGCAAAAATGAATAAAAGAGATTCACGTGAACTTGCACATCTCTAATATATATATATATATATATATATATATATATATATATATATATATATATATATATATATATATATATATATATATATATATATATATATATATATATATATATATATATATATATATACCGTAAATTTTTTCTAAACACATTGTAGCAAAATTAAATTTTGACTACTTGCCTGATGATTGTGGTAACACATGAAACTTTAAGTCGCAATATAATATTATAGATATTAGCATTTAGCTAATTCCTGATACTGCGGGTAACAGTAATATATATACTATATATATATATATATATATATATATATATATATATATATATATATATATATATATATATATATATATATATATATATATATATATATATATATATATATATATATATATATATGTGTATATATATATATATATATATATATATATATATATATATATATATATATATATATATATATATATATATATATATATATATATACAAAAAGAAGACTATAGTTGTCTTATCACTAAGCCCCGTAAAAAAAAAATACACAATCATTTCCAACATCATAATGTAACCATGAGTAACCAAGGGTAATTTTCAAACTAGTTATGCTGACAGGAACAACTTCGCATTCCTATCATTGTTTAAATAAAAATGAAATCTTTCGGGGGACGATAGAGTTTTTCAAGCAACTTTTTGCTTTTTTTGGAGACATCAGACACACCCGACCAGCTTTTAATATCAATTAAACTGCTACTTGCGTTCTCTGCAATATCTAAAGCGTCATTATTTGTATCTTTAGTATTTACGGGATAAATATTCACAGCATTATTCTTTACAATATCGGTATTTACACCATAACTATTTACATCAGTATTTACAGCTTTCTTCTTATAAAAGGACATAACTGTTTTTGAAGTCACTCTGATCAAACGAGTTGATACTTTTTATATACTTTGATTCGTAGTTTCGAAAGGCAAACTTTTGTTCATTGTGGATTATTTAGAAAAAATTATATTTGCTGTAATTTTATTACAAAACGACAATAAAGAAGTAATTTTTGAACTTGATTATATAGTCTATAAGTTTACAAACGGCATTACGAGTTTCAAATAAGTTATAATTTATTAACTCTAATAGTATCAAACGTGCTTTCAAATTATATTACATAAACTATTACTTCGTAACGTAAATAAAAGTTAAATATTTTTTTTTAGATTAGTGCGACACTGTATTTGAGTTTTGTACTTATTCTAACTGCCTTTAATACGATTAAGACAAGCATCAAATAATTACTTTTGGTGCACTTTTTCTATTACTGATGTTGTTTTTTTCAAAAACATTGCCCTGAAAAACAGTGGGGGGCCATGGCCTCTTCCCTCCTCCCCGGTGTTGACGGCCATGCTGTAGCAAATAAAATCAAATATTTATTTGGGCTGAGTACAATGTACAATGTTAAATTTGTAATTAGAGTAGCAAATTACTTAAGTTGTTTAAAAAAAGTCTTTTAACTGAGAAAATGAGGCATAGAAAAGCACGGTAAAGCAAAATTCTACCGTAACAGAGTTTTATATGCTAATTAAATATCAAATTTCATAAGCGCTTTGAGGAATGTCATCTAACTCAGCATGGAACCGAGCAAACTACGCAGCAATATCCTTGCACATTGCAACTGTTGATTTAGAAACAGAATTCACAGGTCTAAATGCAAACAATAGCTACCAGCTCCTAGTAAACGTGTATAATGAATCTTATTAAGAGGTCAATGCTAAACGCGTCTCTTGCGCCAAGTACATTAATACAGGTCGCGACACGCAACAATTACTCAAAGAATCACATCGCACCGCATGCAAAAACATTAGTAAAATTGTCAAATCTGCCAGGCACGACTACGAAGAGAACTCGCCAGAGAATGCAAAAGTAACCTTAAACGCTTACATGCACATGTACAAAACAAACAGAGCGTCAGGAACACTATTACATCGCTAGAAACAGCTAATAACAACATTACTATTGATACCGGCGATATATGCTCATTGTTGAATAACTATTTTCATTCGGTCACGCATCAACTCAAACTTGTCAGTATTTTCGTCACGTAAAAACTTTCAAACAGTAAAGCCAAGTAATGCATGTTGGTCCCGCATGATTAAATACTTCTCTGCAGTGCTCTGTGATGCGACAATTAGGTCTTCTTGGATCTCTTAAAAAAATCACAGAAAAAACCAAACTAGATCAATGTGATTCATATATATATATATATATATATATATATATATATATATATATATATATATATATATATATATATATATATATATATATATATATATATATATATATATATATATATATATATATATATATATATATATATATATATATATATATATATATATATATATATATATGAATCACATTGATCTAGTTTAATTTACAACAAAAGATCAAAAATCCTTTACCCAATCTTACAAGGAAACTACTTTGGATTTGGATTTGCTTGATCCAAATCTCCAGTAACAGTAATTAGATTAAAAAAAACATCATTTGAAAACAAAATAATGCAAAAACTATAAAGTTTGTTTTATGACTGGAAAAAAGTCTAAAGATCAACAAAAAATCACTTTACAGTAGCCAAAGTGTTATTTTATCCACCGTAATTAGTAAAATAAGCAAAACATATTTCTTAAACTAATGTAAAAACACTAATATTACAGTGTTTTTTTGGTACAGAAACACATTTATTTATTCTATCGATAAAAAATACTTCTATCGCATAAAAATTGATTGTCGAAAAAAAAAAAAAGTTTAAAAATCAATATTCCTGAGACACGAATTGATGTCTTATAATTATAAGATAAAAGTAAAAAAATATTTTTTGATTTTGATGAGATCTTGAGGTTTCTCTTTGGATTCTAAATTCTTGACGGGCCCTAAAATTTTTGAATTTTTTTTTTCAAAACCATATCAATCTTGGACTCAAAAAAAAAAAAAAAAAAAAAAAAAAAAAAAGAAAAAAATGCTTGTTTTATAAATGATAATGTTATTTAAAAAAAATTTTTTAGTGAAAAAAATAATTGCAAAAATATACCTTTAAACCCCCGTTTTGTCAATGACTTTTTTTTTGAAGGTTTTATATATTATTTTGCTTCTTTTGAGTACCAGGTTGATATAGTTTAGAATATTTAGTTATTTTTTAAACTATGTATATATTAGTCACTTTTTTTTTTTTTTATCAATGACCACATAGATATTCTATATATTATCTCCAAAAATTCTTTTTTTTTATATTTTCGCAATTTCGAAAATGGTTCTACTAGTTAATTTGAGTATGTAGATGTTTGTTTTTTAAAAAAATTTTTTATGTACTAAACAATTCTTGTGAGCATTAAGTTTATTAATTTCGGATTTTTGATGATTAATAAAGTTAGAAGCTTTTTAAAACTTAAATGCTAAATAATTAATTTAACACTAAAAATGAGATAAAAGTAAAAAAGACAAATACAGTTAAAATACTAAGATATTTAATTTTTTGATCTTTTAATAAGACGTTAATAGTCTAGACAGTTTTTTTGTTTTCAAACTATAATTGTTATTCAAAAAAATTTACCGATCAATCGCGCTTTTTTTTTCTTTGGATTCAAACTTTTTAATAAAAAATTGGAAATGCTTGAACTTGTTTAGCCATTACAAACTATAAAATTTTGTAAATTTAATATTTATTAAAACAATAACACATTTATACTTTCTGAAATTAATAATAAAAAAAATCTGTAAAATTATTGGCATTTAAACTATCATTTTAAATCTAATTATTATTTTTAATATTTTTGATGAACTTTTCTACTTAAGTTAATTTTCTAAAAACACTTATCTTTTTCAATCCAACACTACAAATTTATGCCGTTTTAATGACACATGTCATACAAAATCAAAATCGCGAAAAATAAATGCCAATCAAAAATTTTCATTGGCAGATTAATATAGTTGTAAAGTTGTAAGCGTACAAAATTACGGAATTGATAATCGATGTATTCGAGGTACACCTCCTACTAAAGATTAATCTAAAAAGTTCAAAATAAAACAAAAACAAGTTCATGAAAAAATCGAAAACTTTATATACAATACATTTATAAAAAATTATTAGTTGTAATCATAAAATAATCGGTCTTAAAACCTACACGGCATAAAGTTTTTTTAAACTGAAGTGACGGCAAATCCATTTCGGCTTCTTCGGTAACTTGCAAAAGACAAACATCACTTACGTGATTACATCACACGCATGCGCCGGCCTATCGACCCGAAACAGTCTGGATATCAAAATGGAAAGCGAAGAGAACTGAAATCTCAATTTTAAAATCAAATGTTTTTTGCAAAATGTAAAATTAAATCTTAAGTATTTAAATTAGGTTTTTTAGTCATAATAATATTATTTTCTTTAAATGCTGTGTTTTATATAAATTATTTTGGTTACCATTTGTACCACGCACATTATTTTAATATATATGGAATTCTAAAATACTATTTAAATGTAACCTAATAAACTGATAGTCTTTTAAGCATTTAATATATATATATATATATATATATATATATATATATATATATATATATATATATATATATATATATATATATATATATATATATATATATATATATATATATATATATATATATATATATATATATATATATATATATATATATATATATATATATATATATATATATTTATATATAAGGATGTGAGGAAACATTAAAAATTTACAATACAATATTTTTTACATAAATTTATATGTCTAGTTTTGAAATTTCTCTAAAATATAAGGATTATCACTGTAGCTTAAGTATTTCAAAATTTTTACAATTTTTGAGCTGTAATTTTTAATATTAGTTTTTAATAAGTTGCGATTGTTTATATATCTGAAGACCCTGCAAGATTTTCCATCCAAGTTTATTTGGTTTTCAACAAAAAAATAATTTTCTTAGTTTTTATCATTTAATTTATTAAAATAAACTTAATATATCCAAAGAAATCATATAGTGCTTTAAAAAAATATAGAGTTATGTGTAAAATTAAATATAGCATTATAGAAGTAAAATAAGTATACATATGCAAAAAAAAATAAAATTGTCACAGGAAGAATTTTTTTTACAATAAAAAAAAGATAAGAGTTTTGTAGTTGTTGGAATTCAATAAATAACTTTGTGATCAGAAAAATTTTACTTTCAAGTACTTAATGCAAGGTGGGCTCCAAATAAAAAAGTGGGAAGGAATTTTTATACAGATCTAATAAACAGAGGGGTTTTGATAAATGGGTGGTATGAGTTTCAATTTTTATCAAAGAGTTTTATACTAATTTTTAAGGCCAGTTTACATTCAACGTTTTTTTTTTAGTTTGCAAGTTTTTTTTTCTTAGCTTGTAAAGAATAATATATGAGAGGTGTTAATATGTGGCGGATAGGTGGTAAAATTTTTATAAAAATTACTAATAAACATCCTCTCCCATGTATTAACCACCTGAAAATACATACGCAAACAACACTTCAAATATTAACTTTCACAATATTATTTTGTGTGCTTGGAAATTCAATATGGGAACTTAAGATTTACTTTAAATTTTCAGTATCAATAGTTTAATAATGTAACAAAACTTTTAGTTTTAAGTTTGTGTCCTCCATAATTTTAAAAACTGGTTTATAGAAAAACATAAAGGATTTAAGTATAAAACTGCATTATACCATCTTTTTATAATAAACTGTTTTCTTTTGAAATCAATCAATCTTTTTTAATCATAAATGTTTTGACTATAAAAATCTCTTAATACGTGTACACTTTGTTGTGCTTACTAAATCATCATTTATATATACAATCCTGATATAAACTTGTTTTGCTGATATATATATATATATATATATATATATATATATATATATATATATATATATATATATATATATATATATATTTGATTATTATGCCGATAGGCATAAAACTTTAAGTTCCATTAAAAGTTGTTTTTTCTAAATTTATATATATATATATATATATATATATATATATATATATATATATATATATATATATATATATATATGTATATATATGTATATATATATATATATATATATATATATATATATATATATATATATGTATATATATATATATATATATATATATATATATATATATATATATATATATATATATATATATATATATATATATATATATATAAAGCAGTTTTCGTTTTATTTAGTTATTTCAAAAGTTTCAGAAGTTATAAATTAAAGTCTTTAAAAATAAATATAAGTTAAACATGTCAAGATCTGGAACGCCACAAAGACCAAATGGAGCACCTCAGGGAAAAATTCAACCTTTTAAACTAGTTTTATTAGGTATATTTTCATAGTTTTGAATGTATGATTTATTTTTTACATATATTTTAGAGCTTATAAATCTTATAATGCAAGGTATAAATTCAATAGTTCATAAATAGTTTAAAGTTGACATTAAACTTCTGTGATCTGATGGCAGCGCTTTGCAAAGAATGTATATACTTTTATAGTTTGTTAACTGTTTTAACTATTAGGAATATATTTACAATTTTGTTTACTAATAATAACTAATAAAAAGTTAATTACGTTGTTTACTTTAAGTCTTTTTTTTTGACCCATACAGTGAAGAACCCAGAGTTTATTTGGGGATACCATTTATTTGAGACCCCTCCCCTTCTTCCTCCTCCCCTTCCTTCTTTCCTAGCTAAACAGGTGCCACAACAATAATTTTTAATAATGAAGATGTGCGATTTCATGTCTTTATATGACCACTCAAAAAAAATGTTTTAACGATTTGACCACGGCATATTTTTAAAATTTAAAAACGCGCTACAAAAACTTACCTAAACTTATCTGAAAAAAAAATTTTTTAAAAATAAATATTAACGAAAGAGAAAATAAAAAAAATACTTAGTTAAACCAAAAACACAAAAAAATAAATATATATATATAACGCAACTAAAACAAAACTCATCAAACTAAAATGCTTAGTCTATTTAATTTACGTATTAAAAAACCTTTTCAATCTTTGTTTCAACATTTTTATATATTTTTTATTTGTTTAATATGTTCAAAAGTTAAATATTTCTCATAAAGAATACATAGTTATATAAATAAAATTAAAAAAAAAATTATAAATACTTTTTTTTAAATTAATTAGAAGTGTTTTTTTTTTTACTTCATTAAAAGCGTTTCGATAATATATAAGCATTTAAGATCAAACTTATTAAATTGTAACGGTTTTCTAAAATTTTTTTTTTTTAACGAAATTTTGTTTATTTTTTTAAATGCATTAACTTTAATCATTCTTATATTTAAATTCGTTAAAGAGAATTTCATAGTCGTAGAATGTCATCGTTTATAAAAACAAAACAATTTTTTATTTTTAAATAAGTTTTATTTTAGAAATGAACACTTAAACAATTTATATGTTTTAAATTAAAAATATATGTACAACTGTCAATTATATTTAAAAAACAAATCTTTTTTTCAGTAAATTGTTACTTTATTTAAAATCGTTTCACTTATATAAAAACATTTGTTAAGAAGTTTTGATGTAATTAATTTCACTTTGGCAAAATGTAACTTGTGTGGTCATATAAAGACGTGAAATCGCACGTCTTCCTGTGAAAGCCTGATAATCATTTATGGCTATCTTGTTTAGTCTTACCCTATAATAAGGAGTTGATATAAAGGCATTTTTTTGAACACATGAATATACTGGAGGACGATGTTATTTTAATAAGAAAGCTATTTTACTTAAGACTTTAATAAACGCTTTTGTTGCATATACCACCCTATCAGTAAATATTTATTTTAAAAATTTATTAACTATATTTTGGTAAATTTAGATTTAGTAGTTGTTAATGTTTTAAATAATTAGTAATTAAATGTTTAAATACCTTGAACAATTTTTAATCAATATTTAAATTAAATAATATATTTACATATATTAAGTTACGTAATATTTGTAAAATTGACAAAATAGTTTTGTCTTGTATTTAAAATAAAAACATAAGCATTTAATAAACAAATTCGTTAAGCATTTAATAAATGTGTTTAATAAACGTATTTAATAAATATATTCAAAAAAAATAACATAAGCATTTAATAAACTTATTTACTATAATTTAATTTTAAAATTTTGATTTAAATATTAGTAAATCTGTTCATTTAACTAAATTTTAAAAACATTTAACTAAGCATTTAACTTTTACTAAAGGTAATAATTTTAAAAGTGATTTTAAGGGGCTTTTTAATTAAAGATATTTAAGAAAGAGATAATAATGGTAAACATAATTTTAAAAGTGCTATATTTTTTTGATTAAAAAGCATATTATATTTTAATAAAACATATATTAAAAAATATATCTTTTTTTAATAATTAATTATAATTTAAAAAAATTGCGTTTAATAAATAAATTACATTAGGTTGTTTTAAGCAAATTTTAATAAAACTTTTATTAAGTTATTGAAATCTTTATTTTTACTATTTCAAAAGTCAAAAAAGAATATTGAAAAAATAATAAAACTTTCTGAAAAAGTTTATGCTTCTTTTTTTCTCACATAAATTTAAATAGCAAGCTAAAGATTAAATGTTCAATCATTCAAAAATTAAACTCGCGTGATATATATGACAGTTTGTAACGGGAGGCCAATTACGTCACGAAGTTATGTAAAAAAGTTTTTACATTTTTTTTTTAATTCATTTTATTGTCCTGAAGAAAAAATGAGGTAGCAAAAAATAAACTGAAAATTATTTATATACTACTGAATTAAAAAACAGAATTTTTTTCTTTCTATTTTTTTTATAAAATAGCAAAAGAAAAATTTAAAAATAAAAACAATTTTTTGGGCGGTTTTTTTTGGGAGTCGTTACACCATACCGGTGTAACGGTGCTAAAACACAACTTTACTCTTCACTGCTATAATTAAAAGTTTAAAAATCAGCCTCAAATCTTAAAAGGTTAAAGTAGCATTAATTTTGTTTTTTGGCTTTTATATAGTGGGTAGGCAAATTATTAGCTTAATGTATTTTAAATTCCATAAAAATCTTTTTCTTAATGAAAAATTATTAAATGTTGATGGAAGAATTTAATCAATTTTTGTAATAATGTAAACAAACAAAGAAGTTATATCATTTAATTGCAACTTGATTATTCCAGTCGTAGTTTAAAGTAACTTAAAAAATATATTTCATAATAACATTAATTTAAAAGGTTTAAAATAAAAACAGGGATAAATACTTTTAAGCACTTTATCATAAATTCAATTTCAATATCAATTCATCATAAAAAATGCACATACATATTTATATAAATAAAATAAGTTATATTTTATATTCTTTGGTAATTTAAATTAAATCTGTTCATTTCAAACAATCATAAGTTATTGTTATTTTACTGGCCTATGGGTAATATGGTTTGATTGTCAAAATATATATTATATGTGTGGTCAGGAAAAGAGCGCAATCAGACCCCATTTTTATCTGAACTATATATATATATATATATATATATATATATATATATATATATATATATATATATATATATATATATATATATATATATATATATATATATATATATATATATAGTAAAAAATATCTAGCACATAAAAATAAAATATATCTTTAATAAATATTATGTAATTACATAACATTAAAAAAAGCTAAAAAATGTATATTTTTTGTTTCGTTTTTGTGAGTGTCTATTAGGTAGAAAATTTTCTTAATAAAGATTTTTTAAAAATGTTTTGACATTTTTAAATAAAATTGGTAAGTTTAAATGACTTAAGAATTTAATTATCTTAAAAAAACTGCAAAAAAAACAGTAATAAAGAACTAAAGAGCTGTAGTAGTTTTTAAAAAGCTATTTAAATTTTATACTTTTGATTAAAACTTCTTATAGATAAAACATACTTTTTAACACACAATATTTTTATTGTTGCGTTTTTAACTTAGTATCTAAAATGCGACTGTGTGAAGATAAAAGTGAAAATAATAGTTGCGCTTATTTAAATCCTTTTTAATAAACAGTAATAAAAATTCGTTTGTTTAAATTCAAATTATGTAACACAAAAACAATTTTAAAGTATTAAACTCATTCATTCAAGTTTTAATTATACATTCTTTTCTTATAATATCTTGCTTTCTGAGCTATTTCAGTGCGATTTTTAAACTTTCCAAATTAGAAAAATATATTTCACAAAGAGTAACGAAAAGAACTTTTTAAATTTGAAAATGAGAAGAAATGCTGCACAAAATAATTACAAAAACATTACATTACAAATTAAAATATTACAGTGCAATTCAATCAATCAGTGCAAAACTTAAAGAACTATTACTAAAACATAATCAATTTTATTTTATGAATTTTTTAATCTAATAATAAAAAAAATGTAAAAAGGCTTGAATCGCCCGTGTTGCCTGCCATATCTGTTTTAGATAGGCAATTGACCACTCATATACTCCTGTTAAGACCTATATATATATATATATATATATATATATATATATATATATATATATATATATATATATATATATATATATATATATATATATATATATATATATATATATATATATATATATATATATATATATATATATATAAATGCATGTTTAGGTAGCATATGGATAATTCTAGGTCATGTCACCATAAATCTCAGATTTTGCTGATTTTATACAGTTTAAAGTGCTTAGTAAAATAAGAATTCTTTGAAAATTTTAGCCTCTGGCTCCAAGAAGATCATGAAATATGACCGTTTTATTTTTAGCAGATATTGGCCATGCCCTTCTTCTCCCTCAAAATTGCAACATTTATTTGGAGGTTTTAAGTCACATAACATTCAAATTATTTGATTTTTTTACTTAAAAATTTGGGGGTGACGAATCCAATGAAATGATCAGAAGTGTAAAAAATTATTAATAAGTACTTGTAATTATTAATTTAAATAAGTTTAGGCAATTTTTTATATATCTGTTTTTAATGCTCAAGAAACCCATATGGCCTTGATAATATCAAAAAATATATATTAAACATTCTATCTTTACTGATCTTTCAAAAAATATAAAGATTTTGATCTGCAAATGTATGGATTTCCATATGGATAACGGGGAATGGTTTCCACTTTTTTGTAGCAGAATATTGCAATTGATTTTTTACTACCTTCCAGACTAGTCAGAGCTCTGAAACTTTTGGCATTTCTGTAGTGCCAATGAATAAGCCAATAAATGTGCTAATTAATGAATAAAATTGTTTTCAGGGCCCCAAGACATTAGGGGATACTGGGACAAGTGCCCCACTTTTTTGTCATGGAATCTTGAGATTTCA